CCTGCCGAAGCAGGGTCACCTAGAACAGGCTGCACAGGACCTTGTCCAGGTGGGTTTTGGATATCTCCAGAGAAGGAGACTCCACAGCCTCCCTGGGCAGCCTGTTCCAGTGCTCCATCACCCTCAGAGGAAAGAAGTTCTTCCTCATGTTCAGATGGAACTTCCTGTGCTTCAGTTTGTGCCTGTTGCCCCTTGTCCTGTCACTGGGCACCACTGAAAAGAGTCTGGCCCCATCCTCCTTACACCCACCCTTGAGGCATTTCTAAGGTCCCCTTGCAGCCTTCTCCAGGCTGAACAAGCCCAGCTCCCTCAGCCTCTCCTTGTAGGAGAGATGTTCCAGTCCCCTCACCATCCTCGTAGCCCTCCGCTGCACTCTCTCCAGTAGCTCCTCATCTTTCTTGAAGTGGGGAGCCCAGAATTAGACAGAGTACTCCAGATGAGGCCTCACCAGGGCAGTGTAGAGGGGAAGGAGAACCTCCATCGAACTGGTGGCCACACTCCTCCTCAGTTTGTCAGCTTCAGTAATATTTCACTGTTTAACTCTTCTTAACGCTAGGTAAATAGGGTTTTATATCGTGTTAGGACTACTAAATGCTTTATAAATAAAATACTTGGTTTAGATTCTGAATATTCTGTTGTGACTACGTATCTAAAGTATAAGAAATTTGGGAAACAAATGATAAGTGTAAAATGCCAAAAGTTGTTCAAGTCTTCCTGAAATAACTTTTTCCTTGTTTGTCTTGTTTCATGCAGGCTTTCCTTCACCGAATGATCCAATGTGCTACAGCCAAAGTGGACAAAAATGTCACAGAAGAGACAGTTAAGGTTAGTCTCCTAATTACGTATTCCTTCTGTTTTGTATCTGATGTTTTATTTATGTATGTTTTATTCTTTTGCAGATGTTGTTTTCAAATATTGAAGATATTCTTGCAGTTCACAAAAACTTCCTGTCCCTGGTGGAGGAGTGCTTACAGCCAGAACCTAATGCGCAGCATGAAGTTGGAACCTGCTTTCTTCATTATGTACGCTATCTTTTATTACAGCCTTATTTCAGTTTTTTCCTTTATTAATTGTCTTTATCAATTACAGTCATGATGATGAGTGTACATAGTCATGAGGACAAAATATGACTTGATTGCATAACGTAGAGTACTTTGAGGTCATCTCTTGGTTACTGTCATTTCCAAAAAAAAGAGAGGGGAGGAGAATGAAGAAAGAACATATCAAATGGGCAAGCTTCCATTGTTTCACCATATTTATATTCACCAAATTAGCCCAGGCTGACAAACTGAACCCTGCAGCATGCGCAAGGCTGGTGCCTATACGTGAGGTGGTGGTACAAAGATCAGGGTTGTACGAAACAGCAGAAGTCATAATACGCTTTATTTTTATTCTCCTTTTATTCTAGGCAAAAATATGTAGCTTTAACAGAGAACTGTGTATGTTGGGTAAAGTATCTCCATGGTTCTTGACTGTGAATCTGTTGTATTTCTCACAACTGCGGTACCTCCAGAAGTATGTTTGTATTTCCAGTAGTAACTGTTTTCTAGGAGTATTATTTTTCCTGTTGGAGCAAAACAAGGATGTCAGTGTTACACAGCTCTGCAAAATCAGGACGAGTTGGTTTGCTTTCAGTTGTAGCCCTAACAAAAACTGTAGGTTTCATTGTTATCCCTGCTTAGAGTCCCATTTGTTTGCTAAGTCTTTGTTTATTCATTATGGGAGAAGAAAGTTATTAATGGTTTGTGGAAACATTTTGCAGAAGTTGAGTAACATCAGTTGTTGACCCTGCAGTATGGATCATATTGGCAAGGAAGTGTTTGCAGACAAAACAGATAATGATGTCAGCAAATAAGTAACTTCTTGTGCATTTTCTTCTTTTTTTTTTTCATCCTGTGTTTTTGTGATAGTCCAGCCTCTGAAATTTTTCAGCAAATTCCCAACTGATGCTTCCAAGCTGTTGAACTTCATAATTCTAATTTTTTTTCAAACGGTTAATGTGGGACCTTCCAAGATGAAGACTATATTAGCTAATCAGCTTTGGAAAGTGTTCATTCCATATTTTATTTATTAAAAATAAAAAATCAAAATGGCAAGCGAAGAACAATGTATTTCTTTGTTTCTGCAGAAAGAGAAATTCCGTATCTATGATGAATACTGCAGTAATCACGAGAAGGCACAGAAAGTTCTGCTTGATCTTAACAAAATAAGGACAGTCCGGACGTTTCTTTTGGTAAATAAACTTTGAACTGGTGTTCTAACTGAATATTTTTTGACTCGACAGTGAGTTGTTAGCACTGTTGCCTCCACCATGTAACAGCTATAAGCGCACCTGCAGGTGGTTGGCAAGCAATTTCAGCTTGGGATGGTGTTTCCAGAGGAAGGGGTTGTGTACATCATATTTTCGCTGCTGCACTTGGATCCGTGCATCATACAGCATTAGGCAGTGTGCCTTGAACTTTCTGACCAAGAGACAAGGGTGTAAATACAGCCGTGTTTGTAGAAAGAAGAAAGAACAGGAAAAGATAT